CTGAGGTTTTGAAAGTGCATTTACCCCCTCTGTGAGTTTTGGTGTATTGATGACATCCAAATTATGGACCAACGTGATCTTAATGAAATATGTCGCAGCTATTAATCCCATGAAAGATTCAAAGAGTTGATAAAGATGAAATAGTATCCCTCAATTCTTAAAGTTGTGAAGGCGGACAAACTCAAAGCGCTCTCCAAAAGTTTTATTTTTGTTTTTGAAGTTGGTCTGAGGAAGATTTTTTTTAGCTCAAGCATAAAAATAAAATCAAAAAAGAGACACTCTAGCACTTCACGAGCACATAGAATATTTTTCAGTGACTTTTGGTGTCGGAAGTCCCGACGTAAGCCGGAACTTCCGACCGTCGGAAGTCACAACTCATATCGGAAGTCCTGACGCCCAGTCACTTAACCTGCGTAGTGACTGTGGCCGTTGGAACTCCCGACGTAAGTTGGAACTCCCGACAGTCAAAAGTTCCGACCCAAGTCGGGAGTCCCGACACCTGGGTTTTTGCTGGCCAGCTGTCTGCGCACGTCGAAAAGTCCCGACGTACGTCGGAACTCCCGACAGTCTATACGATACGATTGGACTATACAAGTTCTAATGAATTACATTTAATCTGTGTACTACATTTGTACCTTTTTAGCAGTGTATTATAATTAATGATTCACGGAAAAAATTCGCAAGAGTTTCTCTTGTTTCAGGAGCATCCACAGTTACCAACAGAGATATCATTATATAATCCAAATATTTAATCGTGCAAAGAGCACAATGCAACCACAACGAATATCACAGTCAACATAACATGTTCTGCATAGTCTAAATAGTCCACAATGTCTATACAGTTCCAAATAGTTACAGAAAAGTGACTACAAAATCCATAATAGTACATACTAACATCTACCACAAACCCTCACTGCCTTCTAGTCTTACCCTTACCCTTGTGACCGAGAGCGCTGGTACCTGGAGTGTAAGGGTCAGGTGGACGGCGTCGTCTAGTGCCTGGAGGCTGTGTAGGCTGAGTCGAGGGAGTGCCCTGAAGCTGAGAGGGGCCAAGCTCCTCGTGCCTCTGGTCCACATCGTCGTCGTCGTCGTCGTCGTCTGTATAGGATTGAAATCGCTGCAGTTTTTTTAGTTTTTATGTCTCTATCTCATGACTCTGAAACTGCTACTTGGACTACCATCTTGTATTTCATGTGAAAAATTATTTCCATCTAAATTTTGTATGAAATTTTCCATTTGCTGTAATTGGACAGCATTTTGTATTTCCAATGTGCTGAAATTGGACTAGCATTCTGTGTTAACATGTGTGTCTCACGTGTCTGAGACTACTACTGTCTTAAACCCCAAAACTGAATGCCTGTTTTTTTTTCAGTAGAGGAAAACATAAAGCACATCTGCATCATCTTAGCATGTCTCAATTTTTCATGGCGATTATGCTTCAGTTTCAACACGGTTTGAGTTATTTTTGTTCATAACAGTTTGGCCTGTTTGGCTCTCTCTATTACTATTATAACACATATAGTCCCCTTCTGCACTTTCATTTTTATTATTAAGAAAGATCAATTACCATGCAAATAGGAATCGATTGTCAGTTTTTTTAGCACACTTACAATCAAGGTTGCTACTGGTACTATGAAAAGATGAGGGCTTGAAACACATTGTATGTTTGTCATTGGTGGTGCTACATAGACATGATAAAATAATGCGTTCATTTCCACCGTCAGCCTCCTCTTGGAGTTTCAATTCTACTCCATGGTCTCCTGTTTTTATGACATGTAATTCCAAGTGCTTAGTGACAATGTAAACTAATAAGAATGATCACAATTAAGTAGCAGTAGTTCAGCTACTACAGTGTACATTCTGAGTATCTATTTCTTGACCTTATGGCTCCGTTCGCGTGCCCTTAAACCCGGCTTAATCCGCTTCTTTTTTCATCCGGAACAGTGTTTCTCTCTCACAAATTCCTCCAGCATTCCTCCAAACCATCCAAATGTCTCTTGTACTGACATGGTTCTTGCATCGAATTATTTTTATCACTGTAAAAGTTGTTATTTTCCTAACAAATGTATTTTTTCCTCCACGTGTGTGGCGCACGTGCATGAACACTATATTGTTAAGCTCATCATATTTTACCAAAAAATGTGACTAAAATGGAATCCCAAATATTTCTTCATTAGTTTCCATACCACACAATGTGAAGTTTTATACCTATAATAAAATGATGTCGCACAATTATTTTTAGATTACGAAAGCATCTAGGCCCCCAGTTGGGTTTTGGTGATTAATGATAATACGAGATTACTGTGACTAACGTGTGTTTTGCAGATGTAATTAAGTTAGGTCATGGTAATGGCAATTGATTGGACAATCATGGTTGTCATGCCCCTACGATGGAAATCGTTTTGGTTTTCAAATGATGGAGGACGACAATGTTAAGGATGGATTAGTTCTAAGTGTCGTTTGGTGTTGAAATGACACTTAGAGTAGTTTAGGACTTTGTTTTTCCTTTGACCGTACTATTAAGTGGTATGAACTAGTAGCTTGACCTAGCTGAGTCTAGTAGGTTAGGTGTGATGCACACTTGTCAAATCTAGCACCAGGTAACTTCGAAGTAGCCCTAAGATCAATTGAAGCAAACTTCATTCACATTTGATTGCGAGTTGGAAGTGAATGGGGGGTCAAATGTTGACCGGACGCTGACGTAGAGTCCGGTCAGTTCATTTGATCAAGGTGAAGTCGTCTGGTTGCGACCGGACGCTGAGAGAAGAGTGACCGGACGCTGGGTGTTAGAGTCCTGTTAACTCCAATAAGGTTCCAGAGAGCAGTTTTTGTGACCGGACGCTGGGCAGAGTCCGGTCACAACTTAACGGCTCTGTGGCGGGGAGAACTGATCGGAGCGTCCGGTCAACTTGACCGGAGCGTCCGACCACCCTGCAGAGGCACATAACGGTTTGTTTTGAATGATGGGGTATAAATACTTCCTCTATTCATTTAAGGGAGTACTCTTGCCCATTTGAACAGCTAAGAAACACCCTTGAGAGTGCTAAGGAGAGCAAGAGCCTAGTGAGGTGATTGAGATTTGAGAATCCAAGATTAAGACATCATTAGTGAAAAGAGAGTAGCAAGTGTGCATCCACCCTTCTCATTAGGCTTATTGTGATCAAGTGAGAGTTCTTGCATGTTACTTTTGGTGATCGCCATCACCTAGACGGCTTGGTGGTGATTGAGAGTTTGGTGATCATCCGGCGGAGCTTGTGGATGACCCAACTCAAGTTGTGAGCGGTTATGGGTGATTCACCGCAACGAAGTATCAAAGAATCAACCCGTAGAGAGCACTTGATCCTTGCGTGGATCAAGGAGGAGCTACACCCTTACGTGGGTGCTCCAATGAGGACTAGTGGGGAGTGGCGACTCTTCGATACCTCAGCAAAACATCGTCGCGTTCCTTCTCCTCTCTTTACTTTGAGCTTTTATTTTTGAGCAATTCAATTCTTGTCTTTACATTCTTAAATTTGCCATGCTAGAGTAGGATTGAAATTTAGGGTGCTAAACTTTTGTGCGATAGATCATTAGAATCACTTTCTAGGCACAAGAGGTGAAAGTGAGCTAAGTGTAGGGTTTAATTATTGCAAAGAATTTTAGAATTAGCCCAATTCACCCCCCCTCTTGGACATCTTGATCCTTTTAGATTAGATCAAACATATTTTGTTTATGTATCTTATAACATTTTACAAAAAAATAATTTAAAGTTTATGGGGCTCTTGCGTTTGTACCCTTGTTTTGTATCGAAATTATGATTTTGCCCCTATTTTTTTGACTTTGTTAATTTACACCTACTGTGCCATTCACGAAGCAACAGTTTGCCCCTACTTCGTCATCCACCCCTAACGGTGTTAAACTTTGTACAAAAGGACATGAATGCCCATGCGATTTTGCCCCTGTTTGTTATGCCTAATTGTGATTTTACCCTGATTTGGAATTAGACTTTTTTATTGTATGCTGACAATTAATTAAATTTGGTCAAACATATTTGGCACAACTTGTAATTATTTGAACTCAGATTTAATATTGATAAATATTCAAAATTTTGGGACCAAAAGGTTCATAATGATGACAGATGTAACGCTATAAGAAATATTTCGATATAATCTTTTGTGTGGGACCAAAAATCTTCAATGTATAAGAATACGTGTAGAACATCGGTTAACAAACTGTATAAGTAGATGCATGCACTGATAACCTTAGTACGTTACCACATAGGAATGTCATACAGTACATGTTTTTTTAGCAAAAGTAACCGCCATACAAGTTGGTTCATGTAACACTACAAGCACTAAAACTACACCATGTATTTACTAACAAAGAGAATGACATGAATCAGCTGTTGCTGTTGCATCCTTCATAAAGAAAGGAGCCGGGCTGGAACACACTCTCTGGAGCCTCTGGCTGTGCTTGTCCGAGTGGAAAGAGAAATCCAGCGCGTCTGGGCTCTCCTTGGATGGCGAACCACATGCCGCTGAGGAATGTCCAAGTTTAGGCCGCCGCCCCCCTTCTGGCGAGGGTGCTTGTACCCTGTGCCCAACCCATTCTGCCTCAGCTCGGCGCCACGACTGAACTGCTCGATGAACGTGCCATACTGCTCCCTGCCGGAGCTGGACCTGACGATGGACTGTGAGAACCTGGTGCGCTGCACCCACGAGTAGTCCTCGTCATCCATCTCCTAAAAACCTCCGGCCAAACGGATCCCTGGTATAGTAGATTAACAACTCGCAGCAAGAACTGAATAAAGGGGGCCTAGATGAGGCAGGCGCCAGCAGGACGAGCACTAACTGACACTAGAGCTCCACCCAGTCCACCAGGTAGGCGCCACATTTGATCCCTTCCAGAGGGACAGGAAATCCCCCAAACTCGACTGCTCCAATCCGACGCGCCATCCGCCGATCAGAGCCCCTCAAGGGAAAACTACAACATTGATCTACTCAAAGGAAAATCACATCATACTACTTCAGTGATCCAATACTCAAAGGAGTTATTTTTCCACTGTCTCCATGCCATGCTATCGTCCACCCACCACATTGATATCCAATATCGTTAGCATGTGTTCCTGCCACCAGTATTCTTTTTGCATCTTTGGCCAATGGAAGGAATGGCTCCTTCTGATCCTTGCCATTTTTCAGAAGTACCAAAGACTTGCGAACAGCCTCACGCCCTAGTAATCGATGTTCCTGAAAGGTCAACATATTGCCTATCATTAGTGACATCAATTTTGAGATGGCTCAAACAGAAAAATACGCAGAAGTTTGAAAGAAACCAGAAGCATGTTACCTTACAGCCAACTATGTCTAGTAGAGATTGGTCTGAAAATGGATGCTCAAACACTCCAGAAATAAACTTAACCCTCAGAATTCGCTCAACAGCGTCATCAATTCGAGACATTGGTATCTCCCCCGTCTCCACCAAGAACACAATATCGTCCAAAAATTTCTCAAACCTGTGAGGTATCATAATCTGTAGATTGCTCAATGTAGGCAAAATGAACAGATGATTGAGGAATGCATTTCATGTGAACACTCAAATAACCATATACCATGTCCATTCCTGCATTTACTGATTGTGCAATGCAATAGCGATAATCCGACCCTCGAGGCTTTTGTGGCTCACAGATCCTGTCAATGCCCTCCCAATCTGAAATGAGAAAACCCTGAAACAGGAGGTTAGACACGTCAAATTCATAGACCAACCTAAGCTTCAATCATTATACAAAATGATGGCAGTAGGCTCGGGTACCTTAAAGCCTAACTTGCCCTTATCCACGTCAAATCGGACCAGATCAAATCCGAATCCAAATCAAACAAGGCAAATCGCAGCTGCTCCCAGTCAAAGTGGCAATCATCATGGGCACGGCTACGAAGCAGGAAGCCAACAAAGGATCGGAAGAGCCCGAACCGTGCGAGGAACTGAAAAGGATGAGAGAGAGGGATATGCACGCACCCACGGGCACAGGAGCACCGGGGAGAGGAGGCCGGAGAGGCGACGCCGCGTGACGAAGCGGAGTCACGGATGAGTTGATCGTCCAGCCCCCGGTTGCCAGATGGAGAAGCCTTCCTCACGCGCACCGCACGCCTCGTCAGTCGTCGTCACCGCGCAGGCCAGCACTGAAAGGTCCTAATATGGCTAGAGGGGGGTGAATAGCCTATTTAAAAAATTTATAAATCAACTAGAGCAATTTGATTAGTATGACAAATAGCGTAATATAAACTTGCTCTAGCTCTATAAGGGTTGCAAGCCACCTATCCAACAATTCTAGTTGCAATGAATACTTAGGCACACAAACTAGCTATGTAATTACTCACTAAGAGCTCTCAACCTTGCTACTCTAAAGAGCTCAACTAGATGAATGTAAATAATAAAGCAAGCTCTCAATTCTAATTACACTAAAGAGCTTGTATCAACTAGTTTGCAAGAATGTAAATAAGTGAGTAGAATGATTATACCGACGTGTAGGGGATGAACCAATTACAAGATGAATATATATAGCCAATCACCGGGAGAATGACAAAGAAGAGAGACAATCGATTTTCTCCCGAGGTTCACGTGCTTGCCAACACGCTACGTCCCCGTTGTGTCGACCAACACTTGGTGGTTCGGCGGCTAAGAGGTGTTTCACAAACCTCGTCCACACGATTGGACACCGCAAGAACCAACCCACAAGTGAGGTAACTCAATGACACGAGCAATTTACTAGAGTTATCTTTCGGTACTCCGCCGGGGAAGGTACAACTCCCCTCACAATCACCGAAGGCGGCCACGAACAATTACCAACTCGTGCCGATCCTTCACCGCTGCTCCAACCGTCTAGGTGGTGGCAACCACCAAGAGAAACAAGCGAAATCCGCAGCGCAACACGAATACCAAGTGCCACTAGATGCAATCACTCAAGCAATGCACTTGGATTCTCTCCCAATCTCACAATGATGATGGATCAATGATGGAGATGAGTGAGAGGGCTTTGGCTAAGCTCACAAGGTTGCTACGTCAATGAAAAGGTGCAAGGGAGTATCCTTGAGCCGGCCATGGGGCTATAAATAGAGACCCCATCAAATAGAGCCGTTGTACCCCTTCACTGGGCAAAACACGCTCTGACCGGACGCTCCGGTCATACCGATCGGACGCTGGCCCTCAGCGTCCGGTCGCCCGATGGACGCCACGCGTCACCAGCTTCAAACGCTGTTCGTCAGATTTCAACGGCTACGAAGCTGACCGGACGCTGAAGCCCCAGCGTCCGGTCGTTTCCAGTAAGCTCCCCGAGGCATGTTTTTTCGACCGGACGCGTCCGGTCCACCTTGACCGGACGCAGACCAGCGTCCGGTGCTCAACCCTACCCACTGTGCCGTCTGACAGCTCGACCGGACGTAGCCTTTTAGCGTTCGGTCGCTGAGTGACCCAGCGTCCGGTCAGTAGACCGACGCCAGCATCATTTCGACCAACTCCATTTCAACTCTAACTTCTTCACCCTTGCTTAAATGTGCCAACCACCAAAAATTTTGCATCCGGCGCAATAGAAAATAGACATTTCATTTTTCCAAAAGCGCTGAATCCCGCCGAGCAAGCTCGGCGGGAGGGAGAGAGGGACCCAAACCCATCTCAACCCTGCAAACACCTTGTGCACATGTGTTAGCATATTTTCACAAATATTTTCAAGGGTGTTAGCACTCCACTAGATCCTAAATGCATATGCAATGAGTTAGAGCATCTAGTGGTACTTTGATAACCGCATTTCGATACGAGTTACACTCCTCTTAATAGTACGGCTATCTATCCTAAATGTGATCACACTCACTAAGTGTCTTGATCACTAAAACAAAATGGCTCCTACATTTTATACCTTTGCCTTGAGCCATTTGTTTTTCTCTTTCTTCTTTTCCAAGTTCAAGCATTTGATCATCACCATGCTATCACCATTGTCATGATCTTCGTCATTGCTTCATCACTTGGAATAGTGCTACCTATCTCATAATCATCTTGATAAACTAGGTTAGCACTTAGGGTTTCATCAATTAACCAAAACCAAACTAGAGCTTTCAGGCGCGGGTGCGCATCCGGGGCAGATCACGGGCGGTCACGGAGACTGACACCTGTTGCGCTTGCGATTGACTGCGCTGCGGAAAAAGTTGTATGGTGGGAGGCCCGCCGCCGCTTTGTATATTCGTCCCATTATCTTGCGGCGACTTGAAGGGCAGCAGGAGGCGGCACGGGAGCCTCGTGGGGAGGAGGAGAGAAGGAAGGAGGGAGGAGGCGCGGAGACCCACCGCCAGCATCGCCGGAGCCGCGTCCGAGCACCGGAGCCGCCTGCTCTGCCCCGCCTCGATGCCGCTCTGCCCGCCCTTGTAGCCACGGGCCGGGCGCCCAGAGAAGAAGACGACCAGCGCCGGCCACGCCGGGACTCATGGGCGGACGCCGGGACCTGCAGTGAGACGCCGCCGATAAGCCGCGGCGAGGAGCCCGCGCCATGGCCTCCAGCGTGCCTAGAGGAAGGCTGCGCCCGCACCTTGAGCCAGCGACCGGGAGGCAGCCCCACATACAGAAGCAGCCCCTCCTGCGCCCGAACACGAGTCGTGGCCTCCCTCCCTTTGGTGCTTCGGCCGCCGCCATCGAAAAGCCGTGCCCAAGCCGATGTGAGCGACGACGCCCTTTGCGTTTGGGACGAGGAGATAAGATAAGAGGCACTATGGTCATTTGGCCTTTGTTTTTCAGATTTAAAATTTTTTAATTCATTTAATCCATGTCTATCTGACGGACGTTAGAAGCAGAGGCAAACGGACCGTTCAATTCAAAATAACAAGGGTAAAAACACAAAGTTGAAAAAGGAATGGCAAAATCACAATTAGCTTACTGGACAGGGATAAGAACACCATTTTCCCAAAGTTTATTGTTGTAATAATAATAAAACAAATCTTATCATAACTATAAACACGTGTGTAAACAAACAATTGAATAGCTTCTTCGGATTGTCGAGGAAACCCATGAATAACTTCTTCACGTGGCGGAAGTCATCAGTTCGAGCCTGATTATCCCTAAACCTAATGTGAGTTTTTTTCTATTTTGAGTTACTCCCCCACCACGATCGACCGGGAATGGATAAGAGGTTTGTAGGGTTAACGTGATAGGGTAGGGTTGGCTATACTGCTGGTGGCGAACTCCAGGCTAATAATCTGAAGCGCTTGGATACAAGTTATCCTTGGAAGAAAAGATAATTTCCGAATCCGCTTTGTCTACGAATAAGGAAGCTATAAGTAATGCAGCTATGAATTTCATGGAGAGTTTGATCCGCTCAGGATGAACACTGGAGAATCACGCATAGATACTTCTCATGCCCTTTTCGGCAGTCTGGACTAAGCTCATCAGCTCCGTGTCCAGGCTAGGAATGGCAAGGACAGTCACATACAGGATGGCTTTTTTGAGGTAACTATGGTAATAACCGTAGCTGGATCTGTTGTAAAACCTTGCCGTCCGTGGCCTCTCCGTTGTGATTTGTGGACAACCACCATCCTCCTCAACCTGACCCAGTCGACAAGCATCACCAAAGAAAACCAATGGTAACACTGGCACTCTGTTCCTGGAATTGGTAGCAGGGCGCGGCGATGCAGGAGAGCAGCCTAGCACCACGAGAACCATGGCGCTTTCCTGCGGGCCGTAGGCCCTGGCCTCGCTCGCGCTCCGAGTTGTGGCATGGTGGAGTTTGGCTGTCCATGGTGGTGTGGTCGTGTGGCATGGCAGCTGCTCGGAGATTGAAGGGGAAGCTGCCCTGCTCTACCGTTGGCCGCCCGTGGGAGAGAAGCGCATTCAGCGCCGTGCCAACTCTCGGATTGGAACCTGGAACGAGCTCTATCCTTGACTGGGCCTGGGCCGGATTGTTCCCGCTCGCTGTTCCAATCGTCGAAGTGGCGCGTAGCGACGGCACCAGGTCCCGCGCTCCATCGTGGTTGACTAGTCGACTCCAGTAATTGTTCTGTGAATAAAAGACGAAACAAAAGGTTTACTAGTAATTCTTTTTTTTTAGCAAAAGGTTTACTAGTAATTCTCGAAGAAGAACGTTGATTTTCAGCAGCCTGAACCAGGTTACGAGGCTACGAAGCCGCAAAACTGGGCAACCGCAGCGCATCAACGGAGCAGTGAAATGGTTCAGACTTGAGAGCACGAAGCCGCTCGCTCCAATACTCTGCAGCTTGGCTCACCGTCGCCGCGTGCTGAAGAAACGCGACGACTAATCACTGACTGGACTCCGCTGTGTCGAGTCCCACGCGTTCCCACTCCGTCCCATGCCCTGCCCTATGGACCTGTGATGCGTACGTACTCCATGCTAGTATGCTACCGAATTTTTTATTTTTCAGCCTTTTTTTTTAAATATTCACAAATAGATTCCTGGTGGTTTTATTTACGTTTTATGGACCCTGACCTCGACGCTATGGCTTTTGACGTCGAGGAAACACGCCTCGGCGCCATGGACAATGGCGCCGAGGTCTTGACGAGGCGTTGGACGTGGCGATGACCTAGCGTCGATGTGGACAAAGGCCTCGGAGCCATAGATCTTGGCACCGAGCTCGGTGCCGTAGATCTTGGCGTCGAGCTCGGCGCCGTAGATCTTGGCGTCGAACTGTTACCCTATAGATCTTGGCATTTGAAATAAAACAAGTATAATTGTTCCGAGGAATATACAATAACACCATTGCGATTCAGCTGGTTAGAACGCGCGCGACTTAGCCTAAGGACCTGGGTTCAAACCAATCTTTTTTTGCTTATAAAATTAACTCGATTTTCAACCTTTTGATATATCGTATCGAACTGCCCCAGCAAAAATCAAAATTCTTACTGAACAAATTATTTATTTAGGTCAAGGAGACTTTTGTTTTGGTGTGATCACATTCTTTTCTTCCCTGTTGCATGTTCCTGCCATTTGCTCCTTTTTAAGCCGTGAGAGGTATGGTAAGGCAAACGCTCTTTTCTGAGGCCGGTTAAAACTATGTTCTCTCCGACATGCATCGACATGCGCATGTGAACCAGCATGTGGCCACACCATCGCCACACCGAAAACGATATATCATCCGTGTGAACTCAAGCCGACCGTGAGCGGCATAAATAAATTTACGTAAATATGGTGTACTGTGCGAAAATATGATTAGTTTCGGAAAGGACGACGAGCTAGCTGGAGATTTCGGAGCCGTGCCACATGGGCCAGTCCTTCATATCATATATATCTAGACCGTCTATCTCATGCACTGTGTAATATGTACGGAGTACTGGTGATCTTTTTAACACGGAAAGAAAGAAAAAAAATATGGTTACAGGTTTACAGCAATGGGTAAAGTAATCATGCCGTACACCAGTGTCAGTGTAGCAACTTTTTTATTCACTGACTAGCTAGCTAGCGTTCCACTATTTTTTATTTTTTTTGCAGGTAAAAAAAAAACCAGTGTTCTTATTTGCTTTCTCTTGGCACCATGCTGCCTTTCATTGCTACTAGTACTAGTAGCTAGGAGTAGTAGGAAACGTGGGGGCATGGATCTCACTCTGGTTGCAATTTGCACCGAGACTTGCGTCATTAACCCTTTGATCTACAAACCACATCGTCTGTGAATGAAACAGATTAATAATAACAACAACACCGAACCGCATTTGACCCTAGAAGACACGACAAGCATCTCGATTCGTCCTACTCCACACGGTGGATGCATCTTTCTGTCCATCGCACTATAGCGCGCGTCCTAAATAAATAATTTGTTCAGTAAGAATTTTGGTTTTTGCTGGGGCAGTTCGATATGATATATCAAAAGTGTTGAAAATCGAGTTAACTTTATAAGAAAAAAAGATTATGCAGGCCCTTGGGCGAAGTCACGTGCGTCCTAACCAGCTGAACTGCAATGACGTTGTTGCATGTTTCTCGGAACAATTATACTTGTTTTATTTCAAACGTCAAGATCTATAGGGTAACAGCTCGGCGTCAGATCACCGCCACGTCCGACACCTCGCCAAGACCTCGGCGCCATTGTCCATGGCGCCGAGACGTGTTTCCTCGACGCCAAAAGCCATAACACCGAGGTCAAGATCTATAAACAAAAATAAAACCACTAGAGATTTATTTGTGAATATTTTTTTAAAAAAAGCTAAAAAATAAAAAATTCGGTGCATGCTACTACCCGCCCCTGCGACACAAGTCAGTCTTTGATCACCGGCACCGCACATGCCAAGGCCCCAGGGAAAAGTTTTCAGCCAGCTAGGGGCGTGTTCGGCTGGCTTTTTTTTTTCTCATAGAATTACTGTTCACGTCCTGTCCAGAATAGTATTTTTCTCTCACAATAATCAGCCGGAACAGTATTTTTCAGTCCTGCCGAACAGGCCTAGGCAGGTAGCGGATTCAGACCCTCAGCCCTTGTTTAGTTGTACGAATTTGGATTTTGAGGTTACTGTAGCACGTTCGTTTTTATTTGGCAAATAGTGTTCAAATATGGATTAATTAGGCTCAAAACGTTCGTCTCGTAATTTTTCACCAAACTGTGCAATTAGTTTATCTTTTCGTCTACATTTAATGTTCCATGCATGGACCATAAATATTCGATGTGATAGGTATTGTAGCAACTTTTTGAAAGTTAGGGTGAAACTAAACACGCTGTCAGCCTCAAGGTTGCCTCAAGGTTCACGTGCCGAGCGATGAGCATGATTGATTCAGGTCGACTGGCGGACTGGGGCCTGCGGACCACCACCATTGATTGGCTTTGATCATTCACTCCTCTCTCTTTCTCTCTCTCAGTCCCACTGTCCCTGTTGGCCATCACCATCGCTTTGGCCGGAATCTCCTCAGCTGGCTCAGTGCTCCTGCATCACTCACCTCGCCTCCACTCCATATTTAGTTCGTCCAGAATCCAAAATTTGGCACTATGCAAAAAAAAGATTTTCCGTCATATCAAACTTACGGTACATGTATAGAGTACTAAATATTGACGAAATAAAAAACTAAGTACACAGTTTGGTTGTATTTTGCAAGACGAACGTTTTAAGCCTAATTAATCAACGATTGGACAATTATTACCAAATACAAACGAAATACTACAGTGCGCTACAGTTCCTGCAGATTTCAGGTGGCGTCAACTTTGCCAGCAACTAAACGCGGCCATAGATAGATTGGCCTGCTGGCCGGGCTTTAATCATCGGTAGTACCATCTTCCACGTCGTCTTTGTACTGTAGCACATGGGTGGTGGGCCCGAGCTACTAGGACTACGAGAAGTGGAAGTGGATGCTTTCTTCCCTCCTTGCAGTCCCACTGTCCAAGCAAGTCCGTCATTGCTTTGCTTGCTGGCCGAAGAGTCTGCTCAGCTACTCGGCCACCTCACCTCACCTCGCCTCCACTCCACCAGATCTCGAGTTCTCCACCGCCGCGCCAGCGCTCGCTCTTGCCCTCGCTCCCCTGTTGGCGCCAGTGACATGGGTTCCTTTGGGTAGGCGCCAGCGCCAGCGCCAACTTCGGTTACCAAGTTCCTGTGCTCATTTCCCTTTCCTTGGGTGAGTACGGTACGCCTGTGTCTGCAACCTCAGCATCCTTCTTCTTTTTCCTCCTCTTGCGCTGATGGATGGATTATTCCTTTTTTTTCCCTGATCCTGCAACCAGCACCACTCGATTTCTCCACCGCTGCGTCAGCGCTCGCTCTCGCCCTCCCCGCTCCCGGATTTGCTTCTTGGCAGCGGCAACAACAGCAAACAGGGATTTTGTGTTGGCATAACAGCACCGGCGATCAACTTCTGCTCATTTCCCTTGGGTTGGGTTGGGTTGGATTTGGGTGAGTACTTCTCCTCATGTCCTTATTTATGTTTCTCTACTTCCATTTTCTATACTCTGGTCTGGTGACCCCAGTTACCCAGTATATATTTTTTTTCTTTGGTGTCACGATGGCATTTCTTATTCCTAAGCGATTTATTTCCTCTTTCTGCGTGCGTGCAGCGTCCAAGTTTGAGTTGCCTGTAACCAGTGTAACGTAGTACGCGCGAGCATGGAGCTCGCCGTCAGCGCCGCGAGCTGGGCGGTGGGCAAAGCGCTGGCCCCCGTCACGGGCGGCTTGCTGGAGGCGTGGGCGGCCAGCGAAGGGCTCGGCCCCAACGTCGACGCCCTCAAGGTGGAGCTGCTGTACGCGCAGGCCATGCTCGAGAACACGCGGGGCAGGGAGATCCGCAGCCCTTCGCTCAAGGAGCTGCTGAGCAAGCTGCGTCAGCTGGCGTACGACGCCGACGACGTGCTGGATGAGCTGGAGTACTTCCGCATCCAGGACGAGCTCGACGGCACCTACCATGCCGCCGATGCGCACGCCGGGGGTTGCGTCCACGGCCTCGCCCTCAACGCTCGACACACCGCGAGAGCTGTCGCTGCTAAGCTCAACCTCTGCTCCGGCGGCTCTGCTGGTGACGTGATCGTTGCCGGTGATCCTGCTCAGCAAGATAAAAACGCGAAACAAGGATGTCTCTCTGCTAGCGTCTGCTCATGTGGCGGCCGGCAGACGGTCAGCTCCTTACCGCCATCTCCTACCAACCAGGATGATGGCCAGGAGGCTGCACCAGCATGTGGCATCAGTAAGCGTCTTCTCTTCTCCCTCCCGTGCTGCTTTTTTATATTACCATCTGTTGGTGCATGCTCTGACTTGTCCGAGGATCATAACATGACAGGAAATGGACGGCAATTCTTGGGTGCTGTCTTGCCTCCTAAGGTGCAACGATGCTTCTCGGGCGTTTGCTTGTGCCGCAAGCGTGAGACGAGCTCGTCACCACCAGCACCCAGCAACCAGTGCGAAAAGAAGGTTGGCGGTGGATGTGGATGCCTGCTCAAAGTCACTTCTACTGCTCGCAGCGCTGCCCAAGTCGTTGGTAAATGCTTTCCATGCTGCTCTTTTCCATCTGACGGCGACGATAATACTCACCCTGGCATGTTGGAGAAAACAAACATGCCAGAGGATCAAAGGAGATTTCTCTGCTGGACGTCCAAGGTACAAAAGGGAAAAAACACTGCACTACCACCAGAACTGAAGTTTAACAGGGTGAACATCTCTACAAAGATGAAGGACGTCATAGAGCATCTCAAGCCTATATGTGCTAAGGTCTCCAACATTCTGAACCTAGAATTCATGGGTACAAACCGTATCACTGAAAAAGACATTGCTAAGAAACGGCCTATAACCACCCCAGAAACTACGGAACCTCAATTATATGGGAGGAAGCAACAAAAGAAAATAATACTTGACATTGCCCGTGGTAACTCTTCTGCTGATAAGGAACTAGTTGTGCTTCCGATTGTTGGTCCTGGAGGAATTGGGAAGACAACTTTTACACAGCACGTATATGAAGAACTGAAGAACAACACTTTTGAGGTCGCAATTTGGATATGCGTCTCCCTCAATTTTAATGCTGGTAGGTTGGCCCAAGAAGCCGTGAAAAAAGTTCCTAAAGTTGTTAATGAAAAAGAAAACAGCAGTGTCGAAGAGCTAATCGAACAAAGATTGAAAGCTAAGCGGTTTTTGCTTGTACTAGATGATATGTGGGCATGCCATGAGGATGAATGGAAAAAATTGTTAGCTCCATTTAGAAGAGGGGGAGGAAAAGGTAGTATGGTAATTGTGACCACTCGGATTCGTGAGGTGGCAAAAATGGTTATTAAGACAGTTCACTGTCCAATAGAAATGGAGCGCTTAGAGGGTGAAGATTTCATGCATTTTTTTGAAGCTTGCATATTTGGTGGTCAGCAGCCATGGGAAGGTCACACGGACTTACGTGAGGTTGGGGAAAATATAGTGAGCAAAATGAAAGGGTTTCCTCTTGCAGCAAAAACTGTTGGAAGATTACTAAGAAGCCAACTTACTTTGGAACACTGGACTAAAGTTCTAGAAAGCAAAGAATGGGAACTTCAAACCAATGATGATGACATTATGCCAGCATTAAAGCTTAGCTATGATTATCTTCCTTTCCATCTGCAACAGTGCTTTTACTATTGTGGTTTGTTTCCTGAAGACTATGAATTTGACAGTAAAGAGTTAGTTCACTTGTGGATAGGACTAGATATTGTACAACCATGCGACCTGACCAGAAGAATTGAAGATGTTGGCTTGAACTATTTAAATGGCTTGGTTAATCATGGGTTTTTAAAAGAGAATGAAAGAAAGGATGGTTCTCCTTATTATGTTGTCCATGACCTACTACATAATTTGGCAGTGAATATTTCGTCATTTGAATGTCTCAGCATATGTAGTTCCAATGTTAAGTCAATACAGATTCGCCAAGATGTACGTCACTTGTCTATCATTGTAGATAACAAGGAGGTCGAGGACATAAATACTTTCAAGTATTATAAAGATGACTTGAGTGTACTTGATAAAAGATTGAATGTTGAAAACCTCCGTACTTTGATGGTGTTTGGGGAACACAGTGGAAGCTTTGCCAAGACTTTTTGTGATTTATTTGAGAAAGCTAGAGCCCTTCGTGCTATTTATTTATTTGGAGCATCGTCATATGCTATGAAGGACATGTTGAACAAGCTTCCAAAGCATATTCATCTTCGTTACCTAAGGATCAAATCGACTGATGGCACAGAAGACATAGACTTTAATCTTAGTGCTCTGACTAGACTTTATCATTTAGAGGTCATAGATATGCAGGAATTCAAAGGTCACTGTGGTTTCACTTTCACAAGACATATGAGCAACCTTGCAAAGTTGCGTCACTTTTTGGTGCCACAGGATAAGCTTCAACTTCACTCTAACATAGTTGAGGTGGGAAAACTAAAATTATTGCAAGAGTTAAGGTGGTTTGAAGTTGGAAGAGAGACTAAGGGTTTTGAACTAAGTCAGCTTGGTCAATTGTCAGAACTTGGAGGTTCACTTTCCATTAGTAGTCTTGAAAGGATACGAGCAATGGAGGATGTGCATGAGGCAAGATTGAAACAAATAAAACATTTGCACAAGCTAACACTAGAATGGGATGCCAATCGACCTAAGAAAGATACCATACATGAAGAAAACGTATTGGAGATTCTTATACCACCTAGTGCTCTTAAAGACCTTTGCATTAGAGGCCATGGAGGTACTAAATGCCCACAATGGCTAGGTGAGAACCTCTCTGTCAAAAAATTGGAATCGCTTCATCTAGATGGTGTAGCTTGGAATATATTTCCACCTATAGGAGAGTTCTCTCTAGTTAATGAGCCGCGTGAAGAAATTTCGAATAATAATATCTGCCATGATAAGTTTCAAAATTTGAAGAGACTGGAACTAGTTATGCTACCAAGTTTAAGAAGCTGGATTGTCAAGGCACCTTGTCATCTGTTTGCTCAATTGGAGGTGCTTGTCATTAGGGATTGCTTTGAACTCACAGAGTTGTCATTTTCCCATTCGACCTGCTGTCAACAACAGAAAGAGGCAAAGATAAATTGGTTTCCTAGACTACGGGAGCTCAACATTGAAGACTGTCCAAAATTGTTGTCCTTTCCTCCTGTTCCTTGGACTACAACTCCATGCTCGGTTAGGATAAAAGGAGTTGGTTCATACCTTGAGAAACTTGTTTGTGAAGAGGATTACAAATATGAATATAGCTTGGTAATTGAGATGAAGGATGCTCTGGTTAGTGAGTTATGGAATGTGTTGGCCTTTGATAGTCTAACTGAACTGAAAGAGTTGAATATGGATAGATGCCCTCCTCTCCCTCTGCATCACTTCCAAATGCTATCATCCCTAAAGAGCCTCACGTTATACAGAGGTTCAAGTATTGTCTTCCCGCTGGTAGAAGGTGAGAGGCATGCCGAATATCAATCTCCAGCTGAATGCATTACTGTTAGTGGGTGGGATGCTAGTGCGAAGGAATTGACACAGGTATTGACTTATTTCCCCAACCTCTCTGAACTGAATGTGTGGTCGGGCAAGAAGATTACAGGGCTAGCTGTAGTGGAGAAGCAGGCAACAGAAACACCTGCGCTGGTATCTTCAGATAATAAAGTAGACGACGATGTAGAAATCGAGCAGCAGGAAGGCACAAGAGGAGAGGAGGAAATAGACGCATCATCAGCAGAAGGGCTGCTGCTCTTGCCTTCCCAACTACAGAAGTTGTGGATAATCGACTGCCCAGAGCTGAGCCTCAGCTCATGCTCCGGTCCAGCCGACTACAAGTACAACAAAGAAGCAGGACGAACTAGTCCAGGAAGAGGGCTCCAAGGTTTGCGCTCCCTCCGATCGTTGAAGATCTGGTATTGCCCCAGGTTCCTCTCCTCCTATTCGTCATCCTCCTCTTCTTCGTGTTTCCCCTTCCCACCCTCCCTGGAACACCTCTCTCTTGATGGCGCGGTGGGCACGGCCACGCCGTTGCCTCTCTCAAACCTCGCCTCTCTCACAGATTTAAACATACGGGGACGTGGGGAATTAAGAGGCGAGGGACAGTGGCATCTCCTCGCGCAAGATCGTCTCACCAAATTAAACGTCCGCGGAACCCCCAATTTCTTCGCTGGTCCCGAGCCCCCGCTGCCCCATGAACAAGAGTTCCCATCCTCTTCCTCCAAACTGCAAGTGCTTAAGACGGATGACGTCGCGGGCGTCCTTGCCGCGCCCATCTGTACCTTGCTCTCTCCCTCGCTCACCGATTTGAGATTTTGTTGGGACGAAGAGGTGGATCGCTTCACAAAGGAGCAAGAGGACGCCCTTCGGCTCCTCACCTCTCTCGAGGAGATCACATTTAAGGTGTGCAACAAGCTGCAGGGCCTCCCTGTAGGGCTTCAAGGACTACGCAACCTCAAGAGATTAAACATCTGGTGTTGTGAGGCCATCCGGTCGCTGCCCAAGGATGGCCTCCCAATTTCACTGCAAGAGTTGAAACTAAGCTATTGTCCAGCCATCCAGTCTCTCCCCAAGGACTGCCTCCCAAGTTCACTGCAAAAATTAGTGATCTCTTACTGCCGAGCCATTCGATCGCTGCCCAAGGTGAGTGACCTACCAAGTCCACTCCGAGAATTGGATGTCCGGGGTAGCGAAAACGAGGAGCTAAGAAGGCAGTGCCGCAAGTTGATTGGAATCATTCCAGTTGTCTACGCCTGACTCAGCCAAGGTAACAAAGAGGTGCAACTTCCTACCCACCAATTTTGCTTGCATTCGTTAATCCCATAAAAGTCAGTCGTTCTCCTTTTATTTATTTGACTGCAATCATGATTTCCTTCCAAATAACCCACTTGTTTTCACCTACTGTGCAGGGCTCTTTCTCAAATTGTACATTCTTCTAACCTCCGGATTCTCACTGTATCTACACATGATTCTGAGTTGTCAAGCATTAACATGTCTACATCTCAGGATGAGCCTAACACCCTGTACATGAAAATGGTTAGTATCCTATATGCAAAATACCCTTCAGTCCCATACAACATTTACAAGTTTGATCCACATTTTGATAATCTACTGCCTGTTGCTTTTGTTATTTGGATGCCTTTTGTTTATAATCATCATATAGTTCGAAACATCTGTATTGTACTTGAGAAAACTATCAATAGAGAGAATTTTCTCACTCACAGAATACTGAAGTGTGAGTTTAGCTGTTTTAGAATGCCTCGCAGCTTGCAAAATATGCTCCATTTAATTTCAAGATGTCTTGGGGGCACTGCTACAGAAATAAGTACTTGTTAGTTTATTTGTTTATTCTCGATTTTGCTAGTTTACAAGAATAGTGCATCTTAGATTGTAGAACCTTGTTTGACTACTTGACTTTTGCGTCCTTATGTTTTCTTTTTAACTACAAGAGTACTTGTTACTTCTGAACTCTGACGTCCTAATTTCATTGCGCAATATTGAGCTGATTTGTTGTATAATCACAATAATTTACTGTCTGCTTTGTTGTATTTCAAGTTAGCGTAACTATTGGGGTTTAATGAACTTCATGTTCGTATGTATTCTCACTTTCTCAGTATCTGCAGGATTTCTATTCTGACTACATAACAAGTGAATGGTGCTAACCTCAAAAACTATCATACTGCCACTACGTTTTGTAGATCATCTCCATTGGATCATCCTAACTATTATATATAATAGAACAACTCTGAGATCAGATTATAGTAGTGCAAGGTAATTGCTCTTTGTTTTTTTCCTAATCACATGAACGTTAAGCCATTTTTACAGATACTATGTGTCTATGTTATACAAGTGCTCCTTGACACGAACCCTACTTATTTTAACCTGCAGTTCACAAGGGTTCATCAAGTCCTTGAGCTGTACATCGTATAATCTTGTTGAATCTTTCTGAAACACACTGTTGCACCTTAGGGGATTGAGTGTGTATTCCTGTTGTTAGAAAATCATTGTGTCAAAGGTAATTATACTATATTTGCTAGTTTTTAATGTTACCCATGGGGGAAAATAGTGAGGTTGGAATTGTTTGTGATATTTTGGCTATTCAGAATTAAGATTGTTGTGTGCCCACGTTTGAGGCTTTAGAAATGACGTAGCATAAGAAGATATTTGTTTTGCGAGCACTGACTGAAGATGTTGAACTGAGTTTTTTTCTTATGGAAAAACCGAATGTTCTTCCATCCGTTTTAAAGAAAGAAAATCATTGTTTCAATACTTCTATAAATCTACAGCAATAATAACAAGGATACATATGCATTGTGTCCTGGTAGCAGATTGCTAACTAGGAATGCATTGTATTGTCCTGATCAGCCAACTAAAGATCAGCAAGTAACATCTAAGTTGATCAACTACACATGTTCAAATATGGGTATCTTGTGATATAACCATAAGTGTTTAGTGGCTTCGTAACTTATTATTTACATCACTTGTGTAGAGTATATCCTCTGAAGGTTGAACCCCAATGTGGCCACGGAACGCCAATGTAGGCAAAAGTTGTGGTAATGAAGGCAATATTCTGTTACTGCAACAGCCAAAAATGATTATTGTTAAGTACATGCACCTTTGTCTGCTAAGTCCTCAAGTATTAAGTTTTCAACTACATGTTGCATATTATTTCCTAAGCATGCTGTCAACAGACGTGATATTCTGGACTCTTGCCTACATCCTTGCACATGGATGTTCTGTATTAAACTAAAAACACCTCAAAGTTCAGCTTGTTGAGCTCATGGGACCTTCATATGAAAAAACGAATCTGGTAAGTACCTCGAGTATACTAAATTTTGCTTTAGTTCCTTCTTTTTTTTTGTTATGAATTACTCTGAAATGTTTACTTTGATGAAGTGGTGAACACTTAAATCTTTATTGATATTTTTGCCACAAGATGTAATGAGGAAGGTACTGACAGAAATGTGCAGTGTTTGGTATTCTGGAAACATGTTAAATCAGTTCAAAATGTTGAGACACAATTGAATTATAAATGTTTTCATGTCAGGCCATCTCAAATGATGCAGATATCAGTTAAGTCATGTTGTTGCTTAGTAAATTACCATGCTGCTGTGAACTGTCCATGATAATAGCATGCATCACTTTAGTATTTTGTAATTGTGTGTAATTTGTTCCCTCTAGTAAATTTGGCTATCCTGGTGAAAAATGAAATTCTACCTTTGGACTCTCTATTTGAGATTATAAAGGAGATTAGGAGATGCACATATCTGACATGATTTGAATTTGCATAGAATAAACTGATACTCTGTTAATTGGCAAGTAATATTTTGAACTGACTGTAATTCTCTAGTGCACGAGTAATTTAAATTCTCATTATTATGCTATAATAACTTGTTTCCTTATACTTCATTTCACTTATTATAATGTAATGGAAATTTCCTTCTCAGATTTCTTCTTTTCTTTCTTCATGCATTGAACATTGATGGAAAAGATAAATAAGAAGATTTACAAGCGCCATTCTCAATCACCTTAGGTAGCATTACAGATAGTTAGGTACCATAGTTATGTTTTCTTTTTACCGTGAATTATGTTTTTACTTGTTATGCTTTCCATGTCACAGGAGCACAACTTGTTCTTCTGCTAGACCACAAGCTATCCTGCTCAAGTGCACAAGTGCAAGCTTGCCTAGTGCTGCTCAAGTGCTGACAACAGTAAGAGCTTCACTTTTGTCGATCTTCAAGATTCAGTTACAAATGATATAGGCAGCTAATGTGAAAAGTCTCCTAATGTTCGTCTAATTTTCTAATCAGACATTGCATGGCAGCAGTGTTGGCATGAAGATTTGGCTGATTCAAGGAGGTTTCTGGCACTTCCGTAGTCAACATGAAACTACTACTACACCTACTATTCTATTCACTGGAACAACTTCAGATGTTCCTACTGGGTCATTCTCGCTCTCTATGGTCTGCTTGTTGATTGGCAGATCCAGCCAGTGCCATCAAGCAGCTGTGAACCAAGAGCTCCTTCACATTGCACTCATCTACTCCAACAGAGTAGCTGCATGCATCCGGTGGTGCTCACTCTTTTTAAGCACTCATCCTGGATTGCATATGAGGTGAGTGTTACACGTCTGCTCAGGCTCATTTGTGATGCCAGTTGACATTTGTAAATGCCATTTTTTCTAGTAGAAATATTGGTCAACCTTTTCCCTCGGACCTTTCTGCAGGCACTATGCCCCAAAGTTGTGCCAAGATTACAATCATCTTCAGAAGGTATCGCTTCGGGACATCATCATTTGGCTTGAAGCTAGGCAAGGCTTCTTGCATCTGTCAGGTTCTTGCCATAAGGATGGCAGGGGGAAACTAAGCTGAAGCGTCGTCAGGGAAACTCAGAGAGCGCACTATTGTAGTTGTAGCAGTGAAGGGATGGATCTATTGCCATTTGAGATGAATCGCATCATTCGACTTTTCCTTTAGACAGCTAATGTTGCTAGCTTGGATAACTTTTCAGTCGAACTTGGTAGTTTAATGGTTGTGCACTGATATGTCTCCGGCCGATTGTATTTTGGCAACTATGCAAGACTAGTTCATGTATCTGAGCTGAGACTGAGACTATTCGTTCTCATCAACAAAGCATAGGACAGCAGTCCCCATCTAAGCTTTTGTGATATATATCCGCCCGATCAGCCCGAGCATGGAACACATGCTGCCTGCGTGTGACATCGCGAATCCGGTGACAGAGACACGGTGTATACGTCGATTGCGCTGCAACATTATTATTGGTCATTGGGCCCGGACACAGCGTGCCCACGCCGCAAAAAGAAAATTGATGTACACCTAACACACGAATTTGCAGTTTTGCACCCCTCGATGGATCAACTTCGCATGCATCACGCCATCTCCCTAAATATATATCTCACTGTATTTTTCTACTTGGACGTGTTTTAATTAAGCTATATATATACTGGGAATTTTCAGTATGTGGCATGCCTATGTGTAAATTTAATTAATCCGTCTTTGTTCAAGTATGAAATCACTTCTCCACTAGCCGAAAACTTGAAATTAGGAGAGCGTATATGTATGAAAAGGAGAAGGAAAGGAAAGTAGTTGGACTAAGGAGAGCGTATATGTATGAAAAGGAGAAGGAAAGAACAGTAGTTGGACTAGTTTCATAGTATCTGGATAGGTATCATTTCACTAGCGGGGTGGTGATAGGTGTCAGCCTTCTAGGATCCACGGTAGATATCTTATGAGTAATTTATAGATGAGAATTTTAAGGAATCGCTTTAGGTTATTTTTGTTAATGATTGAGTTAATTCTTTTATATTTAATATAGTGGCAAAATCCCTAAACTAATATGCTACTTTGAGCTAATCTTTTAATAACGAATTAGGTCTTTAGTTTACATGAAAAAATTAGGGGTTATTACTTTGGTTTATTTTTAATAATAATAAAGGTGAATAATCTAGATGTAGATTCAGGGATATTAAAGTTGTTTCCTATAATTATATCTATAGGTAATTTAGATACACATTTAAGGGATTACTTTAAGTTATTTTGATAATGTCAAATGTGAGTAATTTAGATTAAGTTTTTTTTCTCCTTTGGCTAAGTTGGTTAGGTGGTTCAAGTACCACTCCTCGGGTCCTGACTTCGACTCCTCGTGGAAGCGGAATTTTAGGCTGGGGTTAAAAAAACCCTCCTCGTCTGTCTCATGCCAAAGCACAAGTCTAAGGCCTAGCTCCGGTCGTGATCGTTCTTACATGGGCTATGGTGCCGCTGTGTATACGTGAGGTCTTCTTCTTAATGCAATACTCAGGGGTTGTCTTACCCTGCAGGTCGACTTTTATAATTTAGATTAAAAAAATTAGAGGTAATTTTAAGTTACTCTGATATAAGATCAAGCAATTTTCAAAGATGTAACATGCCTGTGTAAATTTAATATGTCTTTGTTCAAGTATATAAATTCATTTCTCCACTAGCCAAAAACATAAATTAAAGGTGGACTAGTTTTGTACTAGTGTCTAACTACTCAAAAAGTAGCGATGAAATTATAGGTGGGCTAGTTTTATAGTACAATAGTAGCGTGCCTCAAAATAAGACCAGGACAGGTACAATTCATACAAAAAGTATGCTCACAACTCCGGCACTCTCCTCTACTAGTGCTCTCGTCTTCTGAGCTCTGAGATGCATCATCACAAGGCTCGCTCCTCGTGCTTAACTTGAAATGATCTCTTTCTATTCCCAGATTGCAGCCTCCGATGCTCTGCTGCGAGCCTGCCATGGGACGCCCATGACCACGAAGGCTAGATGGACCTGGCCTCGGTGTTGGAACGCACCCCCTGACGCATACCTGTTCACTTAGCTGATAAGTTATGGCTGAAAGTACTGTCGATTGATTTACTGTGAGAGAAAAATATTGTTCGTTGGCTGAAAAAATATGACTTATAAGCCAAGCGAACAGGACGGCAACCTCCACTGTACTACTGACTAGGAAATACTCCTATGCAAGTCTCCACGCTGCAACGTCTGAACTGATTGCTCCACCACATCTCAATGCCAGCCTTCCCACCATTGTGTCCGGTCCACCTCCGGTACGTAGTGCACGACTTCTTTATTTTCTTCGGCAGAAGCAGAACTCGGAGAAATTAATACTACCATCATTCGCAAAACGTCTGCTTTAATTAATAGTGCCTAATTGCATTTGAAAACGAATTGGTTTACATACCTTTCAGCATCCCCAAAGACGATCCGCCCTAAGGATGGAATTCGCTGTCAGCACGGCAAGTTGGGTGCTGGGCAAGGCCTTAGGCCCCGTCACAGACGGCTTGCTTGAGGCGTGGGCGGCCAGTGCCGGGCTCGGCCCCAACATCGACCCTCAAGATGGAGCTCCTCTACGCGCAGGGCATGCTCGACAACGCGCAGGGGCGGGAGATCCGGAGCCCTGCGCTCAAGGAGATGCTACCTCAAGCTGCAGCAGCTGGCCTACAGCGCCGACGACGTGCTCGACGAGCTCGAGTACTTCCGCATCCAGGACCGCACCCACCATGCTGCCGACGTGCACGATGGGGGATGCGTGCCCGGTCTCTTCCTCAATGCACGCCACACTGCCAGAGCTGACATGTTGCTAGGCAGCTGAAGCTCTCCTCAGGCTCGCGTGGAGCACGCCGTGGCGATCCTCACTGGCATGAAGATGATGATGCAAAGCAAGGATGCCTCTCTGGCATCAGTTCGTGTGGCGGGCGTGACATGGGCTCCACACCAGATCCACCCAGCGACCAGAATGGCGGGTGCATGTCAAAGGTGGCTTCCAGTGACCGCCGGCTGCACATACTATCGGTAAACGCCTCCCATGCTACTCATTCCCATGCGTCCACAATAATAATGCTCGCTCTGGCAACATGCCAAGAAATGGATGGCCAAGCTTCCACTGTGCTTGCCCATCCAAGATTCAAGATGGAAAACGTGATTTTGAATTACCAAAGTTGAAGTTTGACAGGGTGGAGATATCCAATAAGATGAAAGACATTGTAGAGAAGCTAAGGCCTGTATCTGCCAAGGTCTCCACCATTCTTGATATTGAGCTCTTGGGTTCTGCTATTCTTAAGCTAGAGCAATTACGCTCCTCCAACCCAAAACAGTGCTATGGACCATCCCAAAACCACTCCAGAAATTATAGAGCCTAAGTTATATGGGAGGGAAACTGAGAAAAAGAGTATTATAGACGGCATTACCCACGAAAAATATTTTGCAGATGACCTTGTGGTGCTTCCAATTGTTGGTCCGGGGGGTATTGGGAAGACAACTTTCACACAACACATATATAAAGAAGTGAAGGGTCATTTTGCAGTCACAATTTGGGTACGTGTCTCCCTCAATTTTAATGCTAGTAGGTTGGCACAAGAAGCTGTGAAAATAATTCCTAAAGTTGATGGTGAAAACACAAGTAGTATTGAAGACAACTTTGAAGCATGTGTATTTGGTCACCAGGAGCCATGGAAAGATCATTCTGAATTACGTGATGTTGGGGAAAAAATAGTGAGCAAATTGAAAGGTTTTCCTCTTGCGGCAAAAACTGTAGGAAGATTACTAAGAAACCAACTTACTTTGGAACATTGGAATAGAGTTCTGGAAAGCAAAGAATGGGAACTACAAACAAATGAGAATGAAATTATGCCAGCATTGAAGCTTAGCTATGATTACCTTCCTTTCACTCTAAAGCAATGCTTTTCCTATTTTGCTTTGTTTCCTGAAGATTATGAATTTCGTTATGATGAGCTAATTCATCTATGGATAGGACTAGACATTTTACACTCGTGTGGTCAGAATAAAAGAATTGAAGATATAGGACAGGGCTATTTGATTGACTTGGTTAATTATGGATTTCTTATAAAGAATCAGAAAGACAATGGCACTCATTGTTATGTTGTAAATGACCTACTACATAATTTAGCGGTGAAAGTTTCTTCACATGAATGTATCAGCATACATAGTTCCAATGTGAGGTCCATTCAAATCCCACCTTCTGTACGCCACTTGTCTATCCTCATTGACTACAAAGAAGTTGAGAGTAGGGTGAACTTTGATGACTTCAAAAAGGAACTTAGAGAACTGGACAAAAGATTGGATGTTGAGAACTTGCGTACACTGATGCTATTTGGGAGCCACAATGGAAGCTTTGCATAGATTTTTTGTCAATTGTTTTGGGAGGCTAGAGCCCTTCGTACTATTTATTTGTTTGGTGCATCATATAGTGTGGAGGATATTTTGCATAACATTTCAAAACTTATCCATCTTTGTTACCTAAGGATCAAATTAGTGTATTATCATAAAGGCATATGCTTACCTGCTGCTCTGTCAAGACTATCATTTAGAGGTCATTGATATACAAAAATGGGGTGGATGCTTTGGTTTAACAAGACACATGAACAACCTTGTAAAATTGTGTCACTTTGTTGTGCCAGATCATAAGACTGAACTCCATTCCAGCATCTTTGAGGTGGGAAAACAAAAATTGTTACAAGAGCTGAAGAGATTTGAAGTGGGAAAGGAAAGTACTGGTTTCGAACTATGTTGATATTTGGGGGAAGTTTCTAGAACTCTACTGCTTGTCTTTGCTTAGTGTTACGTATATCTATACATGGTACATATGGGCCTTTACACACATATGCACAGATAAAGCCCAACACTCCCCCTCAAGATGGGTGATAGATATCTATCATTCCCATCTTGCTACATGCTAAATTACATTTTTTTACTCATAAACCTTTTGTTAAACCATGCTCATGGAGATTGTTTGAGACCATACAAGGACTTCTTCAATTTGCACACCTTCCCAATTGCCCCAGCATTAGAGAAACAAGGTGGAATCTCCATGTACACTTCCTCTTGAAGATCACCATGCAAGAAAGCATTCTTGACGTCCAATTGACGCAAAGGCCATCCAAAATTCAACGCAAAAGAAACCAAAATTCTCGTTGTGCTCATCTTTGCCATAGGTGCAAACGTTTCATCATAGTCAATGTCATATGTTTGACTATACCCCCCTTGCAACAAGTCAAGCTTTGTATCTTTCAATCTTACCTTCACGTGTTTGCTGCATAGTGAAGACCCACTTTCAACTAATAGCTTTTTTTCCGGGAGGTAGTTTCACAAAGGTCCCAAGTTTTATTCTTTTCAAGGGCTCTCAACTCCTCCAACATGGCCTCACGCCACTTGGGATCTTGTTTTGCTTCTTTCCAATCTTTAGGAATTTGTGCAGATTGTAATGAAGCATAACTGCTCTATATGCAGAAGATAATGATTCATACGAGACATAATTACTTATGTCATGCTCAAAGCCATACTTAACTAGAGGTTTCCCAGTTGTACTCCTTGCCTCCTTTCTTAGAGCAATAGGCAAATCAATGGAAGAGTCAACTTCTCCCCCTGTCTCTGTGGACTGCTCAACCTCACTATCACCAATGTCAATACCACTAGTTGAAGATTGTTGTTGCTCCAATAGTTGCGAATGCTCAACATGTTGCTCTACCAGTTGTGATTGCTCAACTTGTTGCGCCACTGGCTACACTCCAACATTTTTATTTCTTCTAGTACAAACCTGCACAATATTTCTATCTCCTTGCTTTGTGTTCATGTTATTAACATTTCTGTTTTTCTGTCTCTCATTCACATTAGAATTACCTACACGCAATGGAATCACTCCTGTGATAACTTCTATTGCCCTTGATTGATGACCTTCATTATCTTGTACTACATCTATGCCATCCATCCCCTCTTGTTCATACACACTCATGCTTGGTTCACCAAGCTCAAACAAGGAGCTCAAATCAGTCTTCTCCCCATAGTAAGGTTCAAATTCCCAAAATGTCACATCCATACTAACAAAGAGACGTCGTTTAGTAGGGCACCAACACTTTTAGCCTTTTTGACTTGAGGAATAACCAACAAATAGGCACTTAACCGCTCGGGGGTCCAACTTTCCCACAAAGGCCTGTGATCCCTAACAAAGCAAGTGCACCCAAATACCTTAGGTGGAAAAATAAACTCATTCACTCCTTGTAACATCTCATAAGGAATTTTCCAACCAAGCAATCTCGAGGGCGTACGATTAATCAAATATACCGCTGTCATCACCGCCTCACCCCATAGAAACTTTGGCACATTCATAGCATACATAAGGGAGCGTGCAACCTCCAAGATATGACGATTTTTCCTCTCAGCAACTCCATTTGTGGAGGTGTATCAAGACATGTAGTTTGGTGTAAGATCCCTTGAGCTGATAGAAAACTACATAATTCATTATTCACATACTCCATTCCATTATCTATCCTCAACACTTTAACTCGAGCATCATATTGATTTCCAATGAGTAAAAATCCTAAAAGCATTTAAGTACTTCACTCTTGCATTTCATGAGATAGATCCAAGTCACACGTGAATAGCAGTCAATAAAAGTGATAAAATACTCCATTCCACTAACTGAGGTGACTGGGCTTGTCCACACTTTAGAATGAACTAGCATAAATGGAGTTATACTCCTAAGTCCTCTACTTACATACATTGCTCTTGTATGCTTCCCATATTCACATGCATCACATACGAGTTTCCTCTTATCTGCCTTACTCATTATTTCTAAAAATGCTCTAGCCATAGTATCAAATGACAAATGCCCTAGTCGACAATGCTGAAGCATCACCTTAGGTTCATCTTCATTCATGCTTGTTGCTAAAGCAGCACCCAAAAACTTACCATCTTCCTTCCTGTCTAGGTACAATAATCCACCATGCCTAATGCCAATTCTAATTTCCTTTCTCGTCCTCCTGTCTTGAATGACACATTGCTCTTGATCAAAACAGACTTTGCAGTCCATTTGATCAACTAATGCACTTAATGATACTAGATTAACAAGAAAAGAAGGGATATGCAAAACTGATGACAGAGTAATTGATGGGGTACACTTCACAGTACCGCTGCCTTTGATAGGTTGACATGTCCCATCAGCAGTTTGAATGGTCTCCTTATATGTAGATGGATATGGTGTGTAAGATATAAACTCATTAGGAGCACCAGTAACATGTTTGGAAGCACCAGAAGCCAATATCCATCCATGTTGAGTTCTCTTCATACATGAGAGACCTTCAGCATGAATATCTTCCAACTTGGTACCCGTGGGCATCAACGCCACCCTCTGTATCATCTCCATTTTCTCCATGGTTTCCTTACTTGAGGATGATATCTCACTAATTTTCATAATAAGTAACTTTTATCATTTTTCTAGTTCAGATAATCTCCTAAGAACTTCCATGATTTTTTGATTTTCCCTCAATCTTCTACTTTATCCCTTCACAGGAACCTGTAAGCTCCCCCTCACAACAGCTCCTTCCAAGCAGCAGCACGCTGCTCCACCTTCACAATCACCTCCTCTGCTCAAGCCTATGGTTCCCTACCGAACCCAGCACTAACACACTCAAGACACCAATAGCAAGCAGCAATTCCTCCTTTTTATTTAGCTTCTCCTTGCACACACGCACGCACCAGATGGCTACCAACCCTTCCTTGCTTCTACCAATCAGCTCACCACTCACCCGTACTTGCCCCAAGCAAGCTAGCAACTGATTGAGTGATTGCCTCACTGCGCTGCAGGAGCACACGCCTCTCCACCGCAGGTAAAATTGACACCACCTTCCTTCAATCCCCAGGTTCAATCCTCCTTTCTACTCCCAATCTTATATTAAAAAGCAAGAAAACAGAGCACACAGCTGCCTGCTGATGTGCACACGAACTTGCTGCGTGAGCTTTCCTCTCGGCCGGACGTCTCGAGGCACACAGACCTGTGCTGGCAGCAGCAACTCGCCTCGCCGTCAGCAGCACCCAGGTCGCCTGTTGTCTTCACGCCGCGTCCTTGGCCGACGCCGCCTTCTCCGTGGCCTTCCCCTGGCGGCCTCCTTCGACTCATGCGCCTTTTTGCCGGCCGCCTCTGCCTTGGAAGATCACTCGTCATTTGTAATCTCGAAAATATAAGATCACTAGGGGAAGAAGGTGAGGCAAACCTAAAACATAAAAACCATCTGCATAGTCTAACATTAGAATGGAAAGCCGATCAATGTGGCAACAATGATCCTACACATGAGGAAAATGCTCTAGAAGTTCTTATACCACGTAGCAGTCTTCGGGAGCTATGCATTAGAGGACATGGAGGAGGTACTTGCCCTTCATGGCTTGGTGTGAAACTCTCCGTTAAGAATTTGGAATCTCTTCGTTTAGATGGCATAGCATGGAAAATATTTCCACCTATTCGAGAGTTGTGGCTTACTAATGAGGCTCATGAAGTAACTCCAAGAAATATCTCTGATATGAAGTTTCAAAATTTGAGAAGGTTAGGACTTATTAGGCTACCAGGGTTAAAAAATGGGTCGGAGATACTCCTTGCAAATTATTTGCTCACTTGGAAGTGCTTACCATTAGGGATTGCTCTGACTTACCGAGTTATCGTTTTCACATTCTACTTGCTGCTGTCAACAAGACAAAGAGGTCAACATGAATTGGTTTCCTAGATTAAAACAGCTCAGCATTGAGGACTGTCCACAACTATTGTCCTTTCCTCCTGTTCCTTGGACTAGCACTCCATGCTATGCTTTGATCAAAGGAGTTGGTTTGGGATTGCAGCAATTGGTTTGTCGAGAAAATGACCATTTCGGATATTGCTTGAACATCCAGGGAACAGTGGCTTTGGACAGCACATTATGGAATGTGTTGGCCTTTGGTAATCTATCTGAACTAGAAACATTGTGGATAGACAGATGCCCTCGTCTCCCGCTACATCACTTCCAAATGCTATCATACTTAAAGACCCTCTGGTTACATGGTTCAAGCTATGTTGCATTCCCTTCAGTTGAAGGCGAGAGCCATACCGAATACCAATGTGCAACTGAAAGGGTGACCATCGAAGAGTGGCGTGCTAGTGCCAAGGAATTGACACAACTACTCACTTTTTTCCCCAAGCTCTCACTTTTGAGTGTGTCAAAGTGCGAGAGGATAAAAAGACTGGGTGTAGCAAAGAAGCAGGCTAGGACAGCACCCACTACACCATCATGTTCAGCTACTAATGTGGAGGACACACAACTCGAGCAGCAGGACGGCGCAAGAGGAGAGGAGGAAATAGCAGCAGAAGGGCTGCTGCTCTT